CAAAACCAGTAAAGAGAATTTGTTTCTTGACTAAGAATAAGAACTAAGCAATGAGAAGAAAGGTTATGAACTGGAGGATATCGTCTTGATATATCGATCACCAAATTCTCAGAACAAACCCTGAGAGAAATTTACGGCAAAGAACACCAGACAGCCTGCAAATTTAGACGTGAAGGTCTTGTTGAGAAAGGTCATGTACATAATCATTTCAAGTTTGCCAAAGTAAAAAATGTACTTTGTTTTATTTTGCTTTAGAAAGTACATGTGCATGAAATATATACTTCAAAGTTTTAATTCGAGTAGACAAACATTTAAAGCCAGAACCACCTTGTATAGCATAATAACAGTGCCACGTGATTTTATTTGTTCATAAGCGTCCAGAAAATTACGTAACTTTTATCTTAATACTGAGTTATTTAAAGATTGGTGCCTGTGAACCACGCATAAATTCATCCTCAGGGCGATAATGCAAATATTGCCCGTTTTGCCGTAAAATTTTCATTGTGCTAGTTTTGCCGGTGAGCTTTTCGCCTGCAAACGTTTCAAATCACGACCTCGGTCAAGATTCTCCCATACAGACCTCCTGCTCGGTTAATAAGAGCTAACTACTATTTTGTTCTTTGGATTTCAGTATACTCATTGTTAATTGGACGTTCTATTTATCTTTCTTTCAGGCTGCCATCTAAACTGCACATGTAGCGACATTAACATCGAGAAGGAAGCAAAGGAAAGCAAAGAACTTCGTTTAGATGTCTCTTCAGTGGACTACGTTTTAAGAGTAAGGCAGATTTACACGACAAAGTTCATCTCGATTGAGTTTCTTGCGAGAAATTGTAAGGGCGAAGATTGTATTAGTGATGTCACAACACAAAACTGAAGAGTCAAAGGAAGACATTGAATTTCCTGGGAAAATTGTCTGATATCTGCCAAATTGTCTCGTATCTTGCTAGTTTTCGAGGAAGCCGTAAATTGCATTCATATTTGTAGCTTTAAAATTAAGGTAAAGTATTAGCATTTCCTGAATTTGTTTTTGCAATCCGAATTTTTAGGCTGGAAGTCTCGTTATTAAAGTCGTTGAAATTACTGTCTAATTTCACAATATTACTGAAAGCTTTCTAGTTTTCGAGGACGCATTGAATTGATAAGAAGGTTGCGCTTTTAAAAGGGCCGAGAAAAAAAATCGAAAAGAAACTTAGTCTTTTAGTGGAAAAATTGTCCTTAGAAAAAAAA